CTTCAGATCGGGGGTTATCGAATTCCACAATCTGTCCTTCAAGGATTCTTCAGGAGGAGGTTGAGAATGCCAGAGGATCCTAATGAGAAGGTCGTCAGGAAGGCTGTGGATAGGAGTGGCTGATTTCATCTTGAGAGAATTATCACGACGGTGGTTCCAACCAGTAGCAGGTGGGATTCTAAGTGCGTTCAGAATAGATCCTCCGAGATAAGAGCTTGGAAACTTAAAACAAAACCACACAATGGTGGAAAGGAGCTCACAGCAGTTCCGTAGGAGCTGCTTGCCTAGAGTAGAGCTAATTCAGCGATCAAGCAGAGTTCCACCGATTTAATAATCGGATAAAAAGGACACGATTGAGGTAGGTGCTTTGTGCTGTGGAGTGGCCCGCAAGTCAAGAGCCAAACGAGAAATTCAAGATATACGAGGGCGCCATGAGATGGCACCCGATGAAACTTCAATAAATACGAGGGCGCCATGGATGAGAGCAGAATGAACAATCGTCTTCCGCTGCTTGATGTTTGCTTGTCAGTTTCGCAAGCCTAGATGTTGGCGAGGCGATATTTGTTCGCCAGTAGTGGTGGCTCACATGTTGGCGAATTCGACATTGGTTTCACATTCTTTCGGCCGAGCTGGTTTGGTGTGTTACCTCAGAGTAGGCACGGCATGCATGTGATGCTTCATGTAATGTCAACCTTCCGATCAATCCATCCGAAACCAGGTGGCGTGTAAGGATTTACAAATCCTTACTGAGGCACTCGTTAGCGAGGCCATCCCGAGGGTCACGCGACGAACCTGTCTTGCCTATTTCGTCGCACCGAACCACCCCCGAGTCGGCCTCCGCTCCAATCGCAACCATCACCGAGCCATCCCATCCCGAACCCCCCGCCTAGCTAGCTTTTCCCCTATTTAGGCCTCCCTACTTCATTGTTTCTTCATTCAGTAATTCAGTAATTCTGTAATTCTCATTCTCGTTATTCGATATCTGCGCACTCTGACAAGTTCATTCATAACACCTGGTATCAGATGTGAAGATAGTGTGTAGAGTTAGGAGCCATAGCTAGGTAAGTCCTAGCTAGGCAAGAGAAGTTTAGGCAAAAGAGGAGGGTTTTCACTAGCAGCAATGAGGATACATATAGCAAACCCTAGATGGGTTGTACTCGCTATAGAGCACCCCACTACAGGCTAGAGAATAACATTCTGACACACCCCCATAGCCAAAGTGGGGTGTAATCAGTACAATGAGCAAGCAGGTATAGAGCAGGAGTTCACAAAGGTAAGCAAAGCTAGAGCTAATCACAGCGGGCAAGTGAGGAGGAGGAGGAGCTGTGGAGGTAGAGAAGATGGGAGGCAACGACTGAAGCTGCAGAGGCACGGGCACAGGAGCGGCTGACTCAGAGGCTACCGAAGCAAGGGCGACGGACTACTGGAGTAACTGGCTCGGCGGCTATAGAAGAGCGGCAGGAGCAACGGACCCACTGGCGACTGGTGCAGCAGGCTCACTGGCTACCGAAGCAAGGGCGACGGACTACAGGCGCTGCAAGCGACACGACAGGTACCTCCACACAACCTCCTCCAACTGCCCCACACCCTCGACACACACCCACTGCTCAAACCCTAGCTCCACTCCCACGCACCCCCCTAAAACCCTAAACCCCAGTCTCCCACTCATCCACCCCCCTCAGCGACAGCTGCAGCAGTGGGAGACAAAGGAGGAGGAGGAGAAGGGCACGGCGCGCACAACGGACACCCCCACAACCACCACCCCCACACTCCTCACCCCCAAACCCTAAAACGGGTGGGATAGGGGCAGGAGCGCGGGAGACGGAGAGGGGGGGGAAGGCGCGCGCCTCTAGGGCGCCAGAACGGACGGGTGGGGCGAGGGAAGGGGCGTGGCGCGCGCTGCTCCCCTGGGCGCCGCGACGGACGGGCGGGGGGGACGCGCGCGCGGCTCCCCAGGGCGCCGCGACGGCCTGGCGGGGCGCGCGCGGCCTCCCGAGGGCGCCGCGACGAGCTGACGGGGCGCGCGCGGCCTCCCCAGGGCGTCGCGACGACCACGCAGGGCGCCCGCTGGCTCCCCAGTGCGTCGCGACCGACAGGCGGGGCGCTCGCCGGCTCCCGAGGGCGTCGCGACGGACGGACGGGGGGCTCGCGGGCTCCCCAGCGCGCCGCGACGGGCAGGGTGGGGGGCCGCGCGTGCTCCCCAGGGCTCCGCGACGGACGGGCGGGGCGCGCGCTGGCTCCCCCACAGCAGTAAACCGCCGCGCGCCCCGAGCGCGCGGCGGGATGAAAAATAAGAGGTCGCGCACCACGGGGCGCGCGACACAGCGTAGGGCAGCGGAAGCAGTAGGAGGGCCCACAGGCCAGGAGCGTATGTGCTCTGATTCCATGTGAAAATGAAACGAGGAATGATTGAACTGAGCAGCATGAGAAGTACAAGTACCAAACCCTAAAGTGTTGTACCCCATATGAGCTACCCCACTACAGCCTACACAGACTATAGTGTATGAGTTTGACATCAGAGCTATTTTCCTAGCTCACCCCGCTTTTTAGAGTGTAATACTCCTCGGGGGGGGGGGGGGGGGGGGGGGACGAGGAAGGATGTCTTGGGGGCCAGGAGTTGCGTAGGCCGGCCAGGAGAACGAGTTAGTTGCTCCTCGCGGCCATAGTTTTACGGGTACTCCTTCGGCACCGCCAGATCCTTGCCTCGAACAGTCGCGATTGACCGTAGCCTCCCTCCCCCCGGGCAACGGACAGCTGTAGCTGTCGCGACATTAAACGTGAGTTTCTATTCCGCTGCGGTTTTAACGACGATTTCAGAATTTTGTGAGGCAGCTGGCGTCAGCGGACCTGCGTCGGCACCTGCACGAAATTTGCGGAAGTCGTCAGCGTGTGTGGCAGTTGACGCCGTCGGACCTGGGTCAACAGTTGCGCGACAACTTCGGAGTCGTCCCATGCGGCAAGTGACAACGGTGGCTCGTCGTCATTTTGCGCGCGTGACTCACGGAGTGTGGCTCGGCAGCTGGCGACAAGGGACGTGCGTCACTGTGGCGATAATTTCGGAGCTACTGTGGAGAAAAAGTCGGCTGGGGAACTCGCCAGGCGCAAATGGAGTTTTGTGTCCGAAAATATCGGTGGACGAGGAGAGACGACACGCGAACTGCCCGAATTATGCGGGGTCAACTGCCGTCCCGCCCGACCTGAAGTGCAGCGGCTTTTACTGCATGGCGGGCGCGTCATCGAATATTTCGACAGAAGTGCTCGTGGACAGACGGGACTTCAGACTCGCGACACTTACGGGCTGCAACGAAAAGCGGAGTGGCCATATCGCACTTAGCAGAAGTGGGACGCAGGCGGCGAGGGAAATCGAGGCAGGTACACCTCGGAAACAACTCGTGCGACACTGCATGCCTGGTGTTGTTGCAAGCTGGCCGGCAGTATCGAGAGCGGTTTCTCCTGACCAGGGAATTCGTTTTCGGGGACAGCTGCTGACAACCCACGATTAAACGGCGTCCAAGGTACCGCCCGACAATTTCGGAGGGGTCGGTACAGGCTGCCGGGACACACGGGCAGAAACGGTCCAACGGCTAAGCGAGGGTTGAAGAACGTCGTGGGGAGCAGATTAAAAGCCGGTGGAATCGATCTGCGGCCCTACTTCGCCCGAACCTCACCATCCCCACCAAGTCCTGGTTCTGACTCATGCAGTCAACCTACCTGGCCGAATAACGGGGGTGAACACGTGCCTACCCTGTGCTGGTTAAAGGCACCTGGATTGGTGCTCGTTCGACAGCTGTACAGAAAAAACAAAAAAAAGTGGAGTTCGCGGCACTGTTCTACTCCGACAAAAGCGGGCTGGGTGAACGGCACGCGAAAAAGTCGGGGAGCTGCGAGGATAACATCGGTGCAGTTTACAGGTTTCTCCTGACCCGGGCGTCTACACACGAGGTGACGGCGCAGCGGCGAAGCTGAGACCGGGAAGCTGTGAACTTTTAGTGGCGTGATAGGCACGGCGGGCTGCAAAACGGTTGGGCGATACTTTCCTTTTAACTAAGGCTACCCCGACTCCGATAGTTTTTGCCTCTCCACCGGGGCCGAGTTCAGGGCTCTCACTAGGTTTTGGGGCTGTCTGACAGTACCCTGAATTTTTTTTCCCCCGTCTTACGCTCGGACGACGAAATTTACATGGTCTGCATTATAAGCTGGAATAGTTTTTCTAGTCTGATAAATAAGACGAAAAAAAAATTCCTGTTAAAAGTCAACCTACTGTAATCCTACCAGCATGTCTACTCATAGTACCTAACAACCTAGCTGCAGTAGCAAAGGACTTAGTCAGAGTCACTAGAGCCGTACACTTCATTGCTATCAGTATCATCCTCGCTAACCACTGACTCTGGGACAGTGGCCCTTTCTTTCCTACTAAGCCACGGGTACTCAGCATCCATCCTTGCTGCTTCTGCTGCTAGGGCCGCTTCTCGAGCAGCCGCTTCTGCTGCTGCCAGTGCTGCTGCTGCTGCTGCAGCTGCGGCCGATCTTTTCTTCGCACGCTTGCTCGGTCTCTCCCCGGACGCCATCAGCACATCATTCGCAGGCCTGCGCTTCTTGGAAGCATTCCACCTCCTCAGTAACTCGTAGTTAAGGAGCGAGACGGCCATCAGCTCTCCTAGCTTCGCGTCGCACAGGTTCCCGCGAAGCCAGCTTTTGATGATGTTCTGCCGTGAAAAGCCGCGCTCACACTCGACGGTACTGAGCGGAAGCACGGCAACGGCCATCCACAGGTGGACGAGGTTCGGGTAGCATGTCGCCCAGTCGGGGGAGGACAGCATGAGCTTCAGGCCGTCCGCAAACCCAACATCCTCCTGGTGTGAGGCCATGATTGTGGAAAAGGTGATGATCTCCCTCTGCGCTCTCGCCCAGTTGATGCCTGCGGTTGGGGTGCGCATGGGGACAGTGAGACAGGAGATCATAAAGGGTTGAAACATGCAGCTGAAAGAGAATTCTGAAGACTATAGCAGCACATTCCCGGCATTTGACGCACCTGGTAGAGTATCAGGGTCTTCTGGCTTCTTCTTGAACATGTTGCGCAGAGACTGGAGCCATTGGCCTAGCCTTCGCTCACGCTTTGCCTGGTTCTTGGGATACGATCCCTGCTTGAACAGCTTCGCCCCGTCGAGGTGTGAAAGATCCTTGAGGCGGTAGTCGAGCCGACCAACCAAGGTCGTGATGAACTCGCGCGCCAGCCCCAAACACGCTTGGTGGTCCACACCACTTTTCTGCCCCTTGATTTTCTCCTCGTGCAGTCGGTATCGATGGCTGACCGATGTGCCGTCGGAAGCTGTGCCAGCAACGAGGACCTCACGGAACTCCCCTGATGCGTGCTTGTCGAGGAACGGGCCCAACGCGTCTCCACCCTGGCCAAAAGTCGCGTCGTCGCAGTCGAGGTAACGTGTGCGCAGCAGTAAGGTGGTGTTGTGCACCATCGGCAGCACATGGGTTGCGTCGACCTGTAAACGGGGTTGCAACAGCAGGATGTTATTAAAAGTATAGTAAAACAACAAACAGTAAGTCGAGAGACCTGCTCACCTGGCGCCGCTGAAACTTCAAGCTGAGAAGGTTGAGCTCCTTCATGACATCAGCAAGGAAGAACAGCAGGAAATGGAATTTGTAGCTCGTTACGACTTGATACATCTTCTTGTTTGTCTCGTGCAAGACCATCACTGCTGCAGGAAACACCTTCACCAGGCGCTGGATGGCGTCACCACGAGACAACCATCGGACGTCCTTGATGCCTTGGACTTCGAGGTGGGTCTCGCAAATGACCTCCTGAAGCTCTTGAAAGCGGGCGTGATTAACAGAAGAGCGACCAAGGTTCTCTGCTACGGCACGGACCACCTTGTCCACGATGTTGAAGTCCGGATGCGCGGTGGCAGCATCCTTGGCTGCCAAGGCCTCCCTGCAAGACAACGGAACGTAACATTAGCACGGGTATTTTTTTTTTTAAGTATGGAAAACACGAAGCAACAAACTTACCTGTGCACGATGCAGTGGGACGACACAAGATGAGGAACCTTGACTTTGAGGCGCGCTGTGACTCCGTTGTGCTGTCCAAGCATGACAGAAGCACCATCAGTGCTCATACCGGTGAGGCGCATCAGGTCGATGCCGGTACTCTCCAGATGAGTCAAGAGAACTGTAGTGAGTGATCCACAGTGAGCAAGGCGAAGAACTCAGTGACGGGAGCGTTGTCACGCATGAACGTCAAATAGACGATCATGTGTTTCCCCCGCCGTCGGTCGGTGCTCTCGTCCAACTGGATGCCAAGGTACGGACTATCGCGGATGTGTTTTAGCTGGCGGGACTTCAGGTAGCACACCATGGTCTCGACCAGTTGTGCGAAGCCGTACCTGAGACACGCGGGGTTAAAACTCGTTAGTATTGTAAACCCACGGAACACAAAGCAGAAGTTTTGAACGGGACACTTACTCGCTGTAGTACGTCCCGTTCTCCTTCAGGGGCAGATCCGGAGTCCCCTGCTCTGCCATGAACTGAACCAAAGCCACGAATAGCACAATGGGAGCGTCAGACTTGCAAATGAATAACACGATAGCCATTAAGCGAGCAAGACGCTTGACATCATCGTCCCCCCGGTGGAAGTCAGCAATGGACTTCTGCACTTTCTTCACGTCGTCGCGCTCCTCCTTCCTCAAGACCGCGGCCTCATGTTTCAGACTGTGGTGATGCTTGCGCATCGTCTGCTTCTGAATGTCGATGCCACCATCGCCGTTGCGCCCGTATTTGTAGTTGGGGTCCCCGAAGACCATGCAGACGCTGCAGCGCATGCAGGGGCGGCCGGCCTTGTTTTCGGAGATGAGAAGCCAAGGAAAATACCGCTGCCACTGCTGCTTGCACTTCAACTGAAGCTCCTCAACCGACAGCTGCTTGCCTTTCGGATCTTTGAAGTCTTCATTCGCGGGTTCAGGCTCTGCGAGAGGCGGAAGAACTGACGGTGCTGGCTGAGTCGGACCGCCCGGACGTAAAACGGTGAGAACCCGCTGTGAAAATGAAACGAGGAATGATTGAACTGAGCAGCATGAGAAGTACAAGTACCAAACCCTAAAGTGTTGTACCCCATATAAGCTACCCCACTACAGCCTACACAGACTATAGTGTATGAGTTTGACACACCCCCATAGGCAAAGTGGGGGAGAGCAAGGGGTCACAAGACCAGTCAAGCAAAGCAAGGCAAAGCAAGCTCAGGGTGGATCACAACGTCACCACACATTCTGAGCACAAGTTCAAGGCCACAAGGCCAGTTCACATGCAAGATTACATATATATAAGGCTAAACAAGCAAGAGCAGGTATATATATGTAACAGTACAAACAAGGTCAAGAAGTGAGCAAGTGAGGCAAGGTAGGCACAAGGCCCAGCTGAGTACAGAAGCGCTGATGATCACAAGGCGCGAGTGCCTTGGTGAAGATATCAGCAGTGTTGGCCTGAGAGGCCACGTACGCAAGTCGCAGCTGACCACGCTGCTGTAGCTCACGAGCTAAGAAGTAGCGAAGAGCAATGTGCTTCGTTCTGTGCTCCAGTCTCTGCTCCCGACACAAGGCCAGCATGGCCTTGTTGTCTACGTACAGCACTGGAGGAGAACGAGGCGGCTCTCCGAGGTCAGTCAGCAGGTAGGTGAGCCAGCGAAGCTCCTGTGCAGCCATGGCCCCTGCGTAGATCTCAGCCTCACAACTGGAGCCGAGAACAGAAGACGAGCGGGTAGCCCGCCACGAAACAGAGCCGGAACCAAGGCTGAAGGTGTAACCCTGTGACGACCGCTGCGTAGCCTGGTCGTCAGCCCAAGAAGCGTCTGCGTGCCCAGTGAGGACCACTGGACTCTGCCCTCCAAGCACAAGCCCCATGCCCGACGTACTGCACAAGTAGCGCAACACCCTCTTCGCTGCAGCCATGTGCTCCGGTCTGTGTCTCCCAGGAGCAACATAGCGTGCAAGAATGCTAAGAGGGTATGCAAGGTCAGGTCGTGTGCAGGTCATCAGGTACATGAGGCAGCCAACAAGCTCTGGGTACGGGCCACTCGACTCTACGGACTCATCCGAAGGCAGAGCTGAGAGCGAGTGGCGAGTAGGCAGAGGAGTGGCCTGAGGCGAGGAGTACGTGAAGCCGAAGCGCTGAAGGACCTGCTGCACCATGTGTGACTGAGTCAGGGTAATGGTGCGCTGTGCTCTGTCCCGGGTGATCTGCAAGCCAAGGTAGCTGCGCAGTTCACCCAGGTCTGTGCACGTGTGTCTCTTCTGCAGCTCGGACTTCACGTGGGCGAGTCCAGCAGTGTCAGCTGTGGCAAAGACCAAGTCGTCGACGTACACGAGGATGTAGAACGGCGGCAAAGAAGTGTCGGTGCGCAGAAACAGCGACGGGTCGGCAGTAGAGGGAGCAAACCCAAGAGCCGCAAGTGTAGTCCTCAGTGTGTCGTGCCACTCACGCGGTGCCTGGCGGAGACCGTAGACTGGCCGCCGGAGGCTCCACTGGGTGCCAGGAGGAAAAGTCCCAGTGAAGCCAAGTGGGCGGCGCAGCCAGATCTCCTCGTGCAGGCTGCCCTGCAAGAAAGCAGTGCTGAAGTCAAGAGAGTGCAGCTCGTAGTCACGGTGAGCAGCTATGTGCAGCAGTACCCGAAGAGTGGTCATCTTCGGGGTGGGAGAGAAGGTCTGAAAGTAGTCAACTCCCTGCCGCTGACTGAAGCCACGAGCCACGTAACGCGCCTTGAAGACAGGCGGAGAACCCGGCGGCCGCTTCACCCTGAAAATCCACATGCCACTGACGATGTTCGCACCAGGCGGGGGAACCTCGTCAACGTAGGTGTCCATAGCTGCCTGCCACTGAGAGGAGTAGGGACCCTCTATCGCCTCCGCGTAAGAGCGCGGAGTCGGGATGTCAAGTGCATCCGGGTCTCCCTCAGGGGTAAGCAGTACGGACACGAGATGAGGTGAAGCAGCAGCCAAACACTGGAACTCCTCCTGCCTGTCCTCAAGGACGTCCGTGCCAAGGGCACACTCACCCCCGACGGACGGAGGACAGACAGACTCAGACTCAGCAACAAGACTAGCAGCGTAGTCTAGACGACAGCGAGCAGCAAAGTCGACGAGCTCAGCAACTAAGGCAGACGCAGCAGTGGACTCAAAGGAAGGGTCAGTGACAACAGTAGCAAGGAGACGCGTGACAGTCGGACTGGCAGCACGAAGAGAGTCCGACTCCGGGTCGGCAAGAGCAGGAAGAGAGGACTCAGGAGGAGAAGGCAAAGGGGCACGCAGAGGAGCAGTGGACGGACGCAGAGACATCCGGTGCGTACCAGGGACAGGAGGAGGACGCTGACGCGAACCACGTCCACTAGCGCGAGCAGCACGGACAGGCGACACAGGGCGAGACGCAGGCTCACGACGCTCAGCAAGACCTCCAGTAGGACCAGTGTAGGGAGAAGGAGCAGGCAGTGGGGAGGCCGGCTGTAACTGTAACTGCGACGGGACAGGCTGTGGACACTCTAAGGGAGGAGGAGGACCAGTAGAAGGCGGGAGACCAAGAACCTGCTCAAGGAGCGGAACGAAGTACGGCCGAGGCCGCGCAGCGACTCCAGACACAGCAGGGACAGCACCAGTACCCCCAGTGGCAGCACCAGAGCCAACAGCACCGCCAGCTCCAGCACCCCCAGCAGCTCCACTAGCTCCAGGACCTCCAGCAGCACCAGTAGCACCCCCTGCAGGACCGCCTCCAGTACCGCCAGCAGTACCCTCAGCGCCAACACCCTCAGCAGCTCCAGCTCCAGTCGGACCACGAGAAGACGCAGTGGCCCCAGCTCCAGTAGTACCCGCAGGCCCAGCAGCTCCAGTACTCCCAGTACGAGCACCTCCGGGACCCGTGGTACCAGCACCCTCAGCAGCCGAAGAACCTCCAGCTCCAGCAGCACGCCTCCAGCGCCGGGCAAACCACTCACGCACCTCCTGTGGAGAGAGTGGCTCCCGTCGAGACGGAGCACCCGGAGAACCTCCAGGCCCAGCACCGCCAGACGCCACACGAGTAGGCCCAGCTCCCGCAGGCTCCGCAACTCCAGGCTGAGCACCCCCAGGCTCAGCACCCCCAGTCGTAGCACCCCCAGGCTCAGCACCCCCAGACTCAGCACCCCCAGGCGCAGCACCCCCAGGCGTAGTACCCCCAGGAACAGCACCCCCAGGCTCAGCACCCCCAGGCGTAGCACCCACACGCTCAGCACCCCCAGAGTCAGCACCCCCAGGCTCAGCACCCCCAGCAGCACCAGAGTCACCAGCTACCTCAGCAGGCTCGACTGCGTCTACCTGGGACACACCTGAAGGGGCAGGACCCTGAGGGGGAAGGGGGTCTACCGGGGGGGGACCTGGCACGAGGAAGAGCGGTGGCGGGGGGAGGGACGGAGTGCGGTAGGGGAAGAGGCGGTAGTAGGGCACCGACTCGTCAAACGTGACGTCCTGGGAGGACAGAACACGGCGAGAGGTGGGGTGGTAGAACTGCCACCCTGGCGCGTCAGGGGGGAAGCCAAGGAAGACGCAGGGAGCAGCACGAGGGGACAGCTTGTCCGCAGACAAGTCGCGGACAAACGCCCGAGATCCCCAGACACGGAACGCAGACGCATCGCCAACCTTCCCCGTCCACAGCAAAGCTTGGGGAGGCCTCCGGCATGGAGACTCTGGGCTGAAGGTTGATCTGATGCGCCGCGTACCGAACCGCAAACGGCCACAGAAAATGGGGGGCAGCCGCATGCATCATGGACGTACGGGCGACGTCCATGACCATGCCAATGCGGCGCTCAGCAATCCCATTTTGCTGTGGAGAGTCCGGAAGCGTGAAGGTCTGGCGGATGCCTCGTGCACGACAGTAGGCTCGCAGAAGGCCCGAGGAGAACTCCCCGCCTCTGTCAGAGTGCAGACGCAGAACAGGAAAGTCCGAGCCGAAACTCTTCCTGAGCTGGAGACGAGCTGCGCGGATCCAGTCGATCAACACCTCAGTGACATCACCCTTGCTGCGCAAGGGGAAGACTGTGGTGTAACGCGAGTAGTCGTCAACCACCAGCAGGAAGTAGCGCTCGTGACCCTGTCCACGGACGCGGGCTGGGTCCCACACGTCCATGTGAAGCGTCTGCAGCGGGGCCTCTGTCGGAGGAAACTGGGAGGAGTGAGGGGCAGCACGCTGCCGCCCCTCGACACAGGGGACGCAGGTAGGGGCAGGCCCCGGAGGAAGGGGAGGGAGGGACCGGGGAAGACCAGAGACAAGGACACGAGAGGCCATGCCTCGGAGACGAGGCAGGGAGGGGTGACCAAGGCGATGGTGCCAGAGGAGAGTCTCGTGAGACAGGAGGCGACACGAGCAGGGGGCAGACTCAGGACCAGACCTGGACGCTGCAGTAAACACCTGACCCGACGCAGCTGCCTGACCAGACGCAGTGACTGGAGGAGACTCAGTGGTCAGTGTGTACAGGCTCGACCCCGGCCGACGTGTAAAAGTGGCCAAGTGTCGGCCCGTCCGAGCGTCCGTGCAGTGGGTCACACGCTGGCTCGCAGGAGTGAACTGGTGAACCCCCGCATCCTGTAGGTCAGCACCACTCACCAAGTTCGTAGAGAACGAGGGGAGGTAAAGACCAGACAGGGTGCCAGAGGGGGCCGCCGGACACGGGAGGGCAGTGGAGAAGTGTGCAAGGACAGGACCCCCAGAGGGGTCTGCCAGAGAGACTGCAACAGGCCGACTGAGCGGCGTGAGTGTGGTGCGGTCTCGAAAGAAGGAGCGGGAAGCCCCTGAGTCAAGGGTAAAGGTGTGGGAGGCCGTAGCCGACGCAGTACCTGAGAGAGCAGACTCACCAGCACCTGAGGAAGCAGACTCACTGGCACCAAGAGCAGCAGCCTCACCAGTACCTAGAGCAGCAGCCTCACCAGTACCTAGAGCAGCAGTACCAATGCCCGGGTCGGGCGGAAAACACCGGTAACAGTCACCCTCATCACTAATAGTCACAGCATACATGGCAGCAAGAATAGCATCATAATCAAGATCAAAGATAGGAACCCCCGCCCTACGTAAAACGGTGAGAACCCGCTGTGAAAATGAAACGAGGAATGATTGAACTGAGCAGCATGAGAAGTACAATTACCAAACCCTAAAGTGTTGTACCCCATATAAGCTACCCCACTACAGCCTACACAGACTATAGTGTATGAGTTTGACACTTTGCTGCGGGCAATGCAGGACCCCCCGGTCATTCGGGCGGGGGCGGTTACCGCACGGTGGACAATTTCTCTCCTTTCTTCCTCAGCGTTGGCGCCAGGTAAGCTGCCGCTGTCGGGGTTTCTAATAGTTTGACTCGTGTGATGCACAGTAGTAGCACTGCCTGCCTTTGCATATGTCAGATCATCTGACATGATCCAAACGTTGACTGCGGTACAAGCTTCATTTGCAACTCGGCTGTTTCCATTAGCGTTGTTGTTGCTAGCCGTGATACCTACTGCTGCTGCATGTGCCTTCACCCATGTGGCTCATACTAGAACCCCCTTCTCTCCCATTCCGCCCTCCTCTCGTCCCATCATCTCCTGCAGCACCATCGCAAAGGGAGCGTCCCTAGCTTCGACCGCTGCCACTCAGTCCCTAAACCCTCTCAACGCCATCGCCAGCAGCAACAGCAGCAACAGCGCAGGCGACAGCAGCGCCACACTCACTGCCGACGGGGGAATCACCTTCACCGCTGCCTCCTCTGCTCCAATGGTTGCTGACTTCTCCTCTCGTGGGCCCCTCTTACCGCCCTCTGCCACAGCCCGCCCCCCGCAGCCAGCAAACAGCATTCTCAAGCCTGATATCATTGGGCCTGGCGTTGACCTTCTAGCCGCTTTTCCCTCAAAGAAAATCGGTGAGCCGGGCACGACCGCCCGCCTCTCGGGTACTTCCATGTCTACCCCGCATTTGGCGGGGCTAGCCGCGTTAATCATCCAGAAGTACCCCAACTGGACCCCAGCTCAGGTCATGTCAGCGCTGATGACGACGGCACGGGTGACTGACACGAGCAACAACCCGATCAAGAGTGCAGGGTCGGGTGAAAGAGACGCAACCCCGTGGGAGATGGGCGCAGGGCATGTGTTCCCGCCTGCAATGCTCGACCCTGGTCTCACATACGACGTTCGAGAGAAAGACTACCAGAATTTCCTGGCCGGGCAGGATGCGAACCGGGCGAAGAAGGAGTTCCCAGGGGCGTCTCTCACCCCTCTCGCTGTGCGAAATCTGAACCTTCCCACCATCACTCTGCCTCGCCTGCAGGGCTCTGTTCAAGTCACCCGGGCACAGCGTGCGCTCTCCTCTCGTGGTGCAGCCGATCTCGCGCTAAGGGGTGGGGTGGGGTGTGTCAGGATCGCTACCGTATTTGGGTTGGGGGAATGCCTGATGGTGGTGCCTGTGACTGGTGGTGCTAATGAAATACTGGTGGTGTCGCTTGTGGCGAGGAGGGATTGCTTGCCTTGGCTCTCAGTGCAGTGAGGAGAAGGGTGTTCCGTGATGATTGCAGGAGGCAAGAGTGACTTTGTCTGCGTTGCTCCTGGTGGCATTTGCTGGGTTTGGGGGTGAATGTGAGGCCTTGGATTGCAGATGCTTGCTCCCTTGCTTGCTAGTCTCTCCATTGTCCTGCTTATTTATGTTATACATCCAGACAAATACCGGTACCCGTCCTCACATTGGCAGGCAAAGCACAGCGCACCTTCCACTGCACAAAACAGGCTATGTCGTCAACCAGTGTTGTCAGTCATTCACAGCTCCCCGAATAATGCTTCCAACCCAATCCCACAGGCTGGGCTCGGACAACCAAGAGTGTAGAGCCTCCTGGCTTAACTTGAACGAGCCCCAATAACAACGAGCTGAAACTTTCAAGTGTCAACAGCTGATGCACTGCACACCAACAAGCACAGACCGCCAAGGCACTGAAAACACTCCTGCTTCCCCTCTCATTCTCTGCCTCTGCCTCCTCACCTGCCCTGCGCCCATCCTCTTCCTCCGACGATGTGGGTTAAGCTTTCAGTGGAATCGACTGTCACCTTGCTCCCTGCCTCTGTCTCTCTAGTGCTGTCTTGTATGCTGGCGCTATGGGTGGCTGCACTGGTGCTAGAGGCCGGTATGGCACTGCACTGTCTGTCTGTGCGTGCGAGTCGGAGTGAGACTGAGGGTGTGAGTTTGCAGAGGGGAGGTTGAGTGGGTACGACTGGTCGGCGTCGTAACCTGAGAGATCGCCGCATGCTAGGAAGGGCACAAACAGCCGATCTGGGCCGTCCAGTCCTGCAGACAGACAGTCTGAGATTGGGGCGAGAGGGGAGAATGAGAAAAAAGGGAGAGCAGAGGAGTATGAATGGGTGATCAGAGATAACCATACAAGCATCTCTCTCACCCAGTCCCTCTTTCCCTACCTCAACCCCCTAGTCCCCCTAGTCCCCCTTACCCCTATTCCCCATTCCCACCTGAGCCAAGGGCAGCTGCTTTCCCGGCAGCGGTGGCGGCAGTGCCATGCAACACTTCCCTCAGCCGCGACGGGTGGAATCCTTCTGGTGGGTGGTACCCCCGACACACCACAAAGGCCTCTGTCATTGGCGTCACACGGGTGGTGTGGTGGTGGGGTAATGGAGAAGGGGAGGGACCGGAGGGACGGGAGGGATGGGAGTGAGATGGTGGAAGATGGAGCAAGAGGAGAGGTGGAGGTTAAAAAGGATAGCGAGTGTGGGAGGCAAAAGAGGTGGGTGGGGAGGAAGAGGAGGGACGAAGCGCTAGTTGCTGCTATAGTAAAGGAGGGACAGGACGGAAAGAGCGACCGAGTGGTGAAGCGAAAGCAGGAGAGCAAGGAAACAGCACAGCAGGAAAACAGGCAGGGATGCAAGCAGGTGTGAAACAGTAGAAGGGCAACAAAAGTGGAAGCACAAGGCAAATAAAAAAAAAGGATTTCAAAGGTATTTCTGAAGTAGCACATGAGCTATAGACAAGTGCACACCAATGGAGGAGTTGCAGCTGGACTTGGGCTAGGCGCAGGTGACATGGAGAAAGAAAGCACGCAGCTGGCAGTAAGTAAACGGCTTTTGAGACGACTCAAAAGAGAGTGCGCACCGATGGAGGAGTTGCGGCTGGACTTGGGCTTGGCGCAGGTGACATGGTGGAAGAAGACACGCAGCTGGCAGTAGAGCAGGCTTATGTCCTTGCCCCGGAATATCTTCGCCACAAACGAACCCCCCGGCCTCAGCGTGTGCGTCACTATTACTAGCGCCTGCGGGGGAGGGGGGCGGAGGGAGAGGGAGGAGGAGAGAGGGGAACAGGCACGGAGGCATGAAAGGAACGGGCATGAGTGACAGGCATTGGGCACGTTAAGGGCTTCAGGAGCAAGAACCATTTCAGGTCAGGCTGACATTGAAGAGACTATGGGGGGTGATTTGGAGCACGTAAGCGTAAAGCACAGGAATGAGGGGCAGCAGATGGTTAGCGGATGGGCATGGAATGATGGAGCAGTGGTGCAGTGGAGCAGCTTACAGCGAGGATGAGCTGTGCTTGCACGAACTCATCTAAGTCATGGAGACCGGTGACTGCAGCACAGGGGAGAGGGGGGAGAAAGGATGGCAGGCACAGAGTGGACTGAGGTGCGGGAGGGAGATCAATGCAAAACAAGCTTCATAGAGAGGAGAGGATGGGAGATGAGCCAGAGGAGGGTGAAGGAGCACACATACCATCAGGAGCTCCATCGCATATGATAAGATCCGCTTGACGGCCCTTGAAGTGATCTATGACCTGCCATGGCAGTTGCATGCACACACATGGACACACGTGCACACACGTGCGCACACGTGCACACACATGCACACACGTGCACACACGTGCACACACATGCACACACATGCACACACATGCACACACATGCACACACACGTGCACAATCATAAACCGTCCTTTAATCATAAACCGTCCCACATAATATTTTTGCAAAGCTGTCTCTCATGAAACCTGGTCTGGCCCTCACCAACTGAGCGGTGGCGGCACTCGTGATGTCCCCCTGAATCTGAATCACGCCTTCGATCGGAGCCATTGGTTGCAGATCAATGGCCACGATTAAAGGTAGCTCCGCTGCTGCTGCTCCTGCACTGGCTCCTTCTGTCCCTGTCATCACCTCCGCTTCTGCATTCGCATTCTCTGTTCCTTCACTCCCTGATTCCCCACCGCCCCCTGTGCCCCTTTCACCATCCCGGCCAAAACCCGAACCGCTCTGCTGTTGCTCCTGTGCTGCTGTATCCTCCTCCCCTGGTGCTGCTGTTGCCGATGTTGCTGTTGCTGCTGGTGCTAGAGGTGGGAGCAGTGAAGGGGATTGTGCTGCCGCTGATGCTCGTGTTGCAGTGGCTGCTTCCTCTGCACCCTTCTTTGCTGGAAGGTACACACGGCGACTCAGCACCTGGAGAGAAGATAAGGCAGGGAGACGCGGAGGGACAATGTGGAAAACTGGCAGTCCACGCATATGAGAGGAGGGACACAGAGTGAATTACAGCCTACTTTTAAGTAAGCGAGGAATGCTTGATAAGTGGGCATCAGGCATTTAATGGTTCTGATGGAAGAAAGGGGGGAGCAGGTAGGCAAGGGGCACGACTAGAGGGGGACACGGGACACCTGTGATGGACGAAGTGGCATTCAATGCAAGGAGGGGAAATGCAGGGGTGGAGAGGACTGCGGACGTGGAGAGGGAGTGAGGGGATGGAGAGGGGATAAGGGAATCGAGGGGGAGAAAGTGGGAGTGAGGGAATAAGGAGGGAGTGAGCGGAAGGGGAGAGGGAGGGAATGGATGGAGAGCTGACCTGCGACCAGCTGCCTGGAGCGGCACAGAGATCCACCACTCTAGACACACCTGCACCGCACAACAGGAGCGCACATGCATGCACGGCTGGATCAGAGAACCTGGCGACACTGACAGCCAATGGAAAACGAGCAGTCCCCTTCGTGACGTACCGAACCCAACCAACCTGAACACCTGAAAGCCGTGTTCTAAACCTGAACCCTGAACCAACAGCTTCCATCAGATCCTCTACCGCACCGACCCATACAAACAGTTTGGCTTATTTTTTTATACCGCACCGCACTGTACCGTACCGTTGAGGATGTCGAACTCCTCGTCGATCTGCAGCAGCTTGAACGCGCTGCGGGCCCGCCAGCCTTCCTCCTTGGCCTTGCGGTAGTAAATGTCCTGCAGCCCGGGTCGCAACCACGAAAAAGACGGTTAAGCCTAGGCGACGGCAGTGATGCGTGCGTGTACGAGGAGAGAACGATACAACCGCAAGAGTGCATGACGGGCCATTGATGGGTGGGAGTGAAGATACGGTGAGTGAAAGACGGGCGAGAGGACATTAGTGACATGCCATAAAGCGAACGGCTTACTCTTTTATCCTTGGACGTCCGACCCATGGCGTTTTGATCAACTAGGGCTTTAGAATCTAGTAGTAACCCGCCTACTCGCCTGTTTGACCCAGAATGACAGTCCTACGTACTCCGCTGAAAGCACATTCCGTTGTCTATGTGTTTAGTTTCAGTTTGGGTGTACATTATTTTTCGCTGGGCTTGTTGAAATTGTGCTTCAAGCGAGATTTGCGAATTCCACCTTCGATTCGTCTCGTCGTCGACCAACGAGCGCTTGGGCTTCTGAAAAGGCACCTCCAGAAGTGACCCCCCGTTACCATTCCCAGGTGCGGCATCGTCTTTGCCACGTCATCTAACCACACGAGCGTGGTGCTTGTCTGTTGTGTTGTGACTGCTGGTTGGCCCTTCAGCCGGTATCTCCGCTGACATCAGCAGTGACATCATTGGTGACATCACAGCTGACATCACCTCGCAATCCTCCCATCCATCCAATCGCTCCCTGCTTCAAGGTCTGCTTGCCCCCACCATTCACGACACTGTCAAGCCTCATCCATCCACGAACAGCTTTCGCACGCACAGTCTAGCGAATTTGCGAACGGCGAACGACGGTAACTGTGTCGGCATCATGGTCGTCAGAACTCCATGAATATGCTTCCTTGTTTCGCCCGAAGCAGCTGAACTATCATGGTTGTGTGTTTCTCCAGTCATCCTGCTAGGCCCCTACAGTCCCTTCCCCTCTTCTATTCATGCTTGCAAAGCCCAAATACGTGTGCTTCTCTCTACCCTACCTGATATCTGCAGCTTGGCCTTGAAGTCTCATGACGCTTTTAACTGAATGTAGCAGATTTTTGTTACCTGCTCTTTCGACGAAATTTTCCTCAAGATACCAACGTATGGCGACGGTTTTTCGCTGTCGGCGGAATTAGGCTCCTCGTTACTCAAAAGACCTAGGGTTGTTTAGTTGTTGTCTAGTATCGCGCTAATTAACTACGTTCTCGTGCATCATCACATATCCCGCGGTACCGCACAATCCCGATTTGCCTTGAGGGAGGCCATGGCGACGAGCCCGACTCGCACAGAAACGTCAAACGAAGGCGACGTAGATAAGGTGATTTACACATTCAATTAGCTTGCTTGACCGTCTGTATATTTCGTTCGTTATGTTCTCGCGACTTAATTCTGGATGTTGCTCGAAACCGTCGGCTACTCCGCTAAGAATCAAAGGTTCTTCTAATTGCTTGCTTCATGGATTTACAACCTTTATGTTCTATGGCGTATTTTGCTTGCGGTGCTTCGCTCCCGATGAAACTGCCCTTATTTGGGATCGGCCATTCCGCCTGTGCTATCAATACCTCTCCTTGACCGCTGTTCGTCCTTCCCTCCTCACCCACACTCCCTTTTCCCTTTCCTCCGCATCTCCCGCTTCCCCTCAGCGCGGCGGAAAGGATGGCAGTCGGGGAGGTGGCGCAAGCAGCTCGGAGCAGGACCTTACCAAGGGCTCCGACCCCAAGGTGAGGAGGAGTCGAGCACTAGGTGACGACGAGGCGAGCGCAAGGTGAGGGGACGACCGGAAGGTGACGAGATGACCCTAAGGTGTTCAACGGCTTGTGCTTCTTTGCTATCCATGTCCCTACTTCCAACTAACACCTTTCAAAGACACCGCCCCCAGTGCCCCGCTTCCTCTCCCTCCCATCTTCTCTCCGCCGCTTTCCTTCCAGCCGCTGATTCATGCACGTGCCTGTGCTTGTGTTGTGTGCGTGTGTCTGTGGCTGTGGCTGTCACCTCCCTGCTCCGCCCCGCTCCTCCTGTGCCCCTGCTCAGCAGTCTCTAAGGCGCCTGGTGCAGAACAGAGAGGCCGCCAGGAAGAGCCGACTGCGCAAAAAGGTGCCTGCCTGCATGCTTCCATTCCATTCGCTCGCCTGCAACCCACTCCTCCCCCCCTTTTCTCCCCCTCCCCTCAAACCCCTGCGCGCGTCGATTGTTGGTAACCCACTGGTGCTTCCATGCATAACTTTCAATCTATGGCAATTATTCCAATTATTCCATGCATAACTGCTCCGGTGCTTTCTCTCTCTTGTCGCGGATCCTTCCATCCCAGCCGTCCTCCCTCTCCCCCAGCCTCTCTGCACGCGCCCCCAGGCCTCCCTCGCTCAATCCCGCCTCTCCACAGCTGTGTCTCCTTCCCTCCCTCTCTCTCACTCGTGGCATGTGTGCTTCTGTGTGGCAGGCGTACGTGCAACAGCTGGAGACGAGTCGTAACAGAATGCAGCAGCTGGAGCAGGAGCTCGCTCGCGTGCGCAACCAGGTGCTTATACACACGCCATGCGCCATGTTCCATGCGCCATGCGCCATGCGCCATGTTCCATGTTCCATGTTCCATGTGCCATGCACAAGGAGCCATGGCAGCTTCCTCTAGTCGCTTCTGACAATCCAAGCCAAGCAAACAGTTGTACTGCTTCCTCTCTTGCCCCTCCTACCACTCGCTGTCCTCCACTCTCCTCTCCGCCATGTGCCATGTTCCATGCACGACGAGCCATGGCTGCTTGTCGCTTCGGACAATTCAAGCTAGGCGAACAAGTGTACCTTTTGCCTCTCCTTCCACTCGCTGTCCTCCGCTCTCCTCCCATGCTTGCCTTTCTTGCGTCTCGCCCTCTTCCCCCTGCACCCTCGCCCGTCTCTCTCAGGTGGCGGTGCAGGGCAGCAGTGCGGACCAGTCTCTGTCGCTCTCAGCAGCGGGGCAAGGGGGAGCTGGAGCAGTGGCGGTCAACCCTAATGTCAACCCAGGTGTGTGCCTGTGTCTCTCTAGTTTGAGCACGCGTATTTCTATGGTAACCCCTCGTAAAGCTATGCTCTTTGTCCTGCCCCACTTGTATTCACACACCAAAACACTTCCAACCACTCCCAATCACTCTCAACCCTTCCTCGGAACCATCTGTGTTGTGTGTGTGTGTGTGCGTATGTGAGAGTGAACTCGAGCAGGGGCGGCGGCGTTTGACATGGAGTATGCGCGGTGGGTGGAGGAGCAGCACCGCATGATGTGTGAGCTCAGATCCGCTCTGCAGTCCCGCCTCGGCGACCAGGAACTACGCGTCCTCGTACGCCCTCCACCCTGCTGCACTGCACTGCTGCACTCTGCAGCTGTGCCACACTCTGGTCGGCTTTGCCTGCCCTGCTTGCTTGCGTCCTCTCCACTTCCAACCTTCTCCCCGAGCCCCTCCAACTCTTGCTGTTCCTCTCTGCCTCTCTCTCGTCTCCCCTGCCCCTTCACCCATCCCCTCCGCCTGCCCCCTGGGCGTTGTGTGGAGGTCATAATAGCGCAGTACGATGAGCTGTTCCAGGTGAAGTCACACCTGGCCTATTCCTGCTGCTCCTCTCTCTCCCCACTCCCCCCCTCGCCTGCGTCTCCCCCACCAGGTGGAGGCAATAATGGCGCACTACGACGAGCTGTTCCGGGTGAAGGCGGTGGCGGCGAAGGCGGACGTGTTTCATCTCATCAGCGGCATGTGGAAGACGCCTGCAGAGCGCTGCTTCCTCTGGATGGGAGGCTTCAGACCCTCCGAACTCCTCAAGGTCGCCACCCACACTGCACCCCCTAGTCTTCTCCTTGCTGTGTTGCCGCTGCTTCCAATCGCTCCATCACGCGTTGATGCATGCATCCAGTATTCCACTCCTGTCGTCCCCCTCTCCCTCCCTCCCTCCCTCCCTCCCTCCCTCCCTCCCTCCCTCCCTCCCTCCCTCCCTCCCTCCCTCCCTCCCTCCCTCCCTCCCTCCCTCCCTCCCTCCCTCCCTCCCTCCCTCCCTCTCTCCCTCTCTCCTCATCCCTCACTGCCTTGCACCTTCACCTGCTTCTTTCTGCCCTATGCCTCGCCTCTCCCACCAGGTGCTGATCCCGCAGATAGAGCCATTGACAGAGCAGCAGCTGATGGGCATCTGCAACCTGCAGCAGTCGTCGCAGCAGGCAGAGGACGCGCTCTCCCAGGGCATGGAGGCGCTGCAGCAGTCCCTCGCTGACACGCTCAGCGCGGGGTCGCTAGGGGCGGCCAGCAACGTGGCGAACTACATGGGGCAGATGGCCATGGCTATGGGAAAACTCAGCACGCTCGAGTCGTTTGTCAAGCAGGTGCACGCGTGCAGGGCAGGCATGGCAGCCCTATTTCTCATCGCCCACCACTTCGTTTCTCCTGCTGAACTACCGCCGCCCGTGCCCTCCCCTCCTCCCTCCGCTGTCTCAGTTTCTCACCTCCTTCTCCATCAATCCCTCACTCCCCGCTCCTCCCCCACCCCAATCCTCCCACGTGCCCACCAGGCGGACAGCTTGCGGCAGCAGACGCTGCAGCAGATGCACAGGATACTGACCACACGGCAGGCAGCCAGGGGCCTCCTAGCTATGGGCGACTACTTTGCCCGCCTGCGCGCCCTCAGCTCCCTCTGGGCCGCCCGTCCCCGCGACCAGTGACGCTCCTTCTGGGCTGTTCGCCCTTGAGTGCCTTCTAGGCTTTTAGACTTACTATGACAACCAGCAGCGGGTCAGTTCAGTGCTGCATGGAAGATGGTGATTCGGGTTACAATGAGTGTGGAGAGCTGGAGTGGAGCCATGGCTGCAGGCCAGGGTACCTACATAACATTCAGCAACAGGGTTTCACTGATGTTGCACCGTCAAGAGTGGTTGCAGCTGCTGCAGATGGTCGAAATGCTCTTGACTTGACTGCTGGCCTGTCCAGGCCTCCTGTCCTTTCCCTGTGCGCTATATATTTCTCCCAGACAAAGCAGCTTTATTGCCTGCTGCTCCTAGTTATGTGACATTTAGCATGTTGGTCTGGTCTGTACATAGATAGGTGAATCATTACTCAATAAAAGAGTCAATAGCAGCAGTCTGACACATGTCTTCTGAGAGGTAGTACTGTTTCATGCTTCCCATCAGGGCCTTAAGATTTGTTTTGAGGGTAAAAAAAAACACACACACAAAAAAACAAGTGTTTAGGTTGTGGATTGTTGCTTCAGTGCTGCCAAACAGGACCCTTGCAATTAGAAAGGAGTTTCAAAAAAGTTAGAAGCAACCATTGTGCAAAAATTACTGCAAAGAATGATTGGGTAGCTGACGATAGTGTTTTGAAGTGTTCCCTGAGGTACATTCGCTGCAATTTATCGCCATGTTATGAATGAACTTGTCAGAGTGCGCAGATATCGAATAACGAGAATGAGAATTACAGAATTACAGAATTACTGAATTACTGAATGAAGAAACAATGAAGTAGGGAGGCCTAAATAGGGGAACGGCTCAACCGCACTCCAAGAAGCGAAGAAACACCCTCAGCTTCAACTTTTTTTTTTTGTAGGAAAAGTCACCCGAAAATCATGGTTGAGGCAGCAGTCCCGAAGTTATTCTCCGCCGTGTAGCCCCGACGTTTCTGTTGGGCTGAAAAACCCTTAGGATCTTTGCAGGGGTGAACTCTGGGTAGAGTTGGTGTAGTAGCGGAAGCGTTAATTAAAGAGTTGTGAACCACCTTGCGCTAGTATGTGAGGGCAAAGTAAGTTAATTAAAACAAAGAGATACAAGCTTTTATAAGAGTACAAGGAATACGAAGAGATACAGTTAATAACCGTTTTACTATTGCTGTTGCGGTTCGATACAGTGACGACTCGGGCAACTGCTCAATACCGAGTCAGTTGTTTGTCCTTGCTGTCGCGCTGTACTTTGTCAGGTCAAAGGTCGCTGACCTTTGACTTTCGCGTAACCTCCAACAGTTACTTTCAACCTCCGAGGGTTGACTCGCCGGTGATTCGTTATACTTCGTTTCTTTTGTGTCTTAGTGTTTCGACACGACAGAGGCGCTTAAGACCGATTGTTTCCAACACTCCCCTTCGCTTCTGGAGTGTCGCTGACGTGGCTCTGTCCCAGGGCTGACTTTTCGAATAAAACCACTCTGATTTTTTTGGCCCCCCAATTTTTTTTAGTCTGAGGCCCATTTTCCAAAAAGTGAATACTCTGATTTCTCAGGAACCAGAGAAGCATAACTCTGAAAATTTTATAATTCAGAGACTAAGGCAGGTTTTCCTACTAACGAACCTTTTGCACAAGTTCGGAGGGATGGGTTTTCCTCGAAGTAACAGGTATGGCGAAGGGGAGTTCGTACTCTGTAGTATGAAAACTCATTATCCGGTAAGCAAGTTCTCTGATTTTTTCAGTATCGAAAAAACCATTAGTCTGAAGCACTCATTTTTCAAAACCAGCCAACTCTGAAAAATCAGGAATGTCAGGAAAATAGTCTGAAATTTCAGACAATCAGACTAAAATATTCTGATATCGTCAGCCCTGCTCTGTCCAGTCAGCAACATGCAGTATTCGAACTTCTGCTTTCCGAGCTTCTTGGTCAGGTAGTCAGCTGCCATCTCAGACGTGGGACAGTATGACAGCTCGAGCCTTCCCTTCTCGATCTCGTCCTTCACGAAGAAATATCGCAGGGCGATGTGTTTCGTCCTGTTCGCGAAGCCGTTCTTGTTGGCGATGCGAATTGCTGACTGGTTGTCGCAGAACAGGGTAAAGTTGGGTAACTCGGCTAACTTCGCTTCTTCCAGCAGCTCGCGAAGATAGAGTCCTTCCTTGGTGGCTGAGCAGAGTGCAATATATTCTGCTTCAGCTGACGAGAGAGCAATTAATTCCTGCTTGCTCGACTGCCAAGAGATAGGTCCGATAGGTTCGAGGCGGTAGATGTAGCCGGTGCGGGAGCGCCTATTGTCGGAGTCGCCAGCGTCATCAGCGTCGACGTAGCCGATTAACTTAGTCGGTGTGGTTGCGTTCTTGTAGTAAGTTAGGCCGATCGTTGGGGTGCTGACGAAGTAGTGAAGAGCATGGTCGAGCTCCGCCAGATGTTCTGCTTCAGGCTTCTTGAGGTAGGTGGCGAGCTGGCTTGCGGAGTATGAGAGGTCGGGGCGACAGGTGACGGCTGCGAAGAGAAGACATCCCAGCTTCTTCTGGTAGTCTCGTATGCCGGCGGGCTTGAGTAGAGCGGAGCTTCCTTTGTCGTTCCCTGCCGTGTAGCGGTATGGCGTGGAGATGGCTGTCGGTGTGAGCGTAAAGCGTTTGGCGATGGTGTCGGCATATTTCTCGGCGCTGAGGTAGATCGCGTCCTCCTCTTCCCGGATGTTGAGGCCGAGGTATTGAGTGACGGTAGATGAAACTGTGAGCGTGAGATCTCGCTGCAGCTCCCCTTCGAACCAGGTAGTGATGCCGTCATTCGAGCCGATGTAAAGGAGATCGTCCACGTAGACGATTAGTAGGATGTAGTCGTCGTTTTTTGTGAGCCGGTACATGCCTTGATCGTGCGGTAGTTGCTTGAAGCCGATGTGGATGAGGCGAGCGTGCAGGTACTGTTGCCACAGTCGCGGAGCCTGCTTGATGCCGTAGAGTGACTTGAGTAGCTGGCAGACTTGGTTGGGTTCTCTGTGGGAGCCGTGCGATAGCTCGACGAAAATTTCTGCATCAACAGGTGCGTAGAGAAACGCGTTCGCGACGTCAATTTGTCGCAGCTTCTTCTTCTTCATGGCGGCGATTGCGAGGAGAATGCGTAGTGAGGTGTGGCGGCTAACTGGAGCGAAAGTTTCGGTGAAGTCGCGTCCGTGTTCTTGGTCGAAGCCGCGTACAACCCAGCGAGCTTTAAATTTGTCAATGGTGCCGTCAGCCTTTGTCTTCACACGGAAGACCCACTTCCCGGTGAGCACTGTCTTGTTGCGTGCCACGTGTTGCGTTCCTCCAGTGCCTTCAGCTCCTTGTCCATGGCTTCGCGCCATTTTTCCTTATGCTCCCCCCCCAGAGCCTGTTGAACCGTCGCAGGCTTGCGTCCTCGGGATAAGCTGCTTCATCTCCCGCTTCTGGATCAGGTATGAAGTTGGGTCCTACTCGTTCTGCTTCGTTGGTGTTGACTGTCGCAGGTGTTACGTAACCGTTGTCGGCAAAATAGTAGAAGGTTTCGGCGTTGACACTTTCGCGAGGGTTATCTTCGTCCATGGGAACGTCAACGGAGCAGAACGGAAGAGGTCCGGCTTCTTCTGATGCGTTGTCCACATTTTGCTCGTCCCAGTCAGCTTCGTCCGTTGCTGAGGCGAAGGCTCGGTCACCGCGAAAACCACCTGTGGGATCCTGGTCTTCTTGCAGGTTGGCAAGGTATGTCTGGAGCGTGAGTCGTTCGTAGAAAATTACATCACGTGCTGCTACTGTTTCCTTGGAATGGACGTCGAAGATTTTCCACGCGTTGTAGTTCTTTTCGATTCCCAGGTGTAGTCCCCACTGTGCTCGTTGAGAAAATCGGCCCGCTCGTGCTGCTGGGGGTCGGTACTGTACCATGCATCCGAATACTCGTAACATTTTTGTGCTGCCCTGTTTCCCTGTCCATAGCAGATGCGGTGATGCGTTGTTTGGAAGCGATGATGACGAGAGCAAGTTGTGCAGCATGACGGCGTGGTCCATTGCCGCAGGCCACTGGTGGTTGGGTAGCCGCATGCCACGTAACAGTTTGCGCATGCTGTTCTGCAAGGTCCTGTTCATTCTTTCTGCTACACCTTGCTGCTGATGGGCGTAGGGAAGGGAGATGAGCCGCTTGATTCCCCTTTCCGCCAGGTACTGCTTGAATCGCTGAGAGGTGTATTCTCCTCCTCCGTCTGACTTTAAGCTTTTCAGTTTCACGCCCGATTCTCTCTCTGCTACTGGTAGCCAGGCAACGAAGGCTGCGAATGCCATGTCGCGGCTAGGGAGGTTTAGGTGCCAGACGTAACGGGTGGCGGCGTCGATGAAGGTGATTGTATAGTTGTATATTACTTGTCCTGGTTCCCGATTGTACAGGATGTCGCTATACACCTTCTCGAGTGGTGCGTACGCGGGTGCGCTCGGGTTGTGATGAGACGCAAATGGTCGATGTGGTAAGTCACCTTCAGGGCAGATGAAGCACGTTCCGCGTACTCGTTGAAGTTCTCGTCCGTCGGTCAGTAGGAGTGAGTCCTTGTCGAGTACTCCTGCTCTTATCGTATTGTTTAATACTGTGTTGCTTGGGTGTCCCATCCTTGCGTGCCAGGTGCTTTCGTCGGCGCGATGTCCGGGTGATCGTCGGTACATATCGGAGTTGGAGTAGAAGTTGGCGGTGAAGTTGGCGCTACGATGAACTTCTTGTGGTGCTGGGTGTAGTTGTTGCGCGGGTGTCGGTGGTGTGTCGTCGATGAGGAGCGGTGTCGTTGAAGGACCAGCAATTGGTGTTGACGTTCCTGCTGCTGCCGTTGATGGTTCTGCTACTGCCGATGTTGTCTCTGCTGCTGCCGATGTTGTCTCTGCTGCTGCCGATGTTGTCTCTGCTGCTGCCGATGTTGTTTCTGCTGCTGCTGATGTTGTCTGAATTGTTGCTAACGCCCTTGTTCTTTCTGCTTCAGGGATGGTGTGTGAGTACCAGAAGCCTTCTGGACTGAAGTCTG